AGGGAGGAAGGGAAGCCAAGAGGAAGCAAAGACAGGACACCTGACTCAAACTGACCAAAGAAGTATTCCATACCACAGCACGTCATGCCCAGGATGTAACTCAGAGTTACCCGAAAGGGCTAGTTCACTGCGGGGTTGAAGGAGGTAATGGTCGGTGCTCAGTCAGGCAGGGTGGGGGGAGTTATCGGTCAGCGGGTGCTCAGGTGTTGTATTCTCTTCCCTTGTTATTTCCTTTATCATTATTATTATTGGTGGTAGCAGGAGTGATTTGTGTTATACCTGAGTTACTAAACTGTTCTTATCTCAACCCGTGGGAGTTGCACTCTTCTGATTCTCCTTCCCAGCCCTCCAGGACAGGGGGAAAGAAAAAGGGGGAGAGTGAGAGAGCGACTGTGTGATTTATGGCTGACTGGGTTTAAACCGCAACACACACCAAGATAAAGTTTGAGCATTTTTATTACAAATTCTTGCAGCTGATCTATAACTCCTTTGCAAAACACAAGAAATAAGGCAACTTTGAAGACACACCTAACCTTCTGACTGCTTTTATAAGATCTCGATATTGCAAGACACACATGCTCCAGAGCAACAACAGTAAAATAACATTCATCCATTTCTTCTAAGTCTAGTTTTATCATTCGTACCAGCATCAATGCTTATTAGATGAATGCTTATTAGAAAAGATCTTAGAAGATCAGACACGTAACATTGAGAAAGCTACTGCAAAAATTGATGGCAATATTTTAATCCTTCTTTAGAAAGTGTAAATCTGTAGAAACATTATGTTCTCAAAGAAAGTGTTTAATATGAAGTCATGTACTGTACAACACTCAATGCAACCTTGAATAAAAACACATGAAGTTGCTCAGAAAGTTTTGAGTTTTATATAAAGTTCTTCATTAATTTATTCATATACAATAGAGCACTGATAATAAAGAATGATTTGTGACTCTCATAGCTCCTATTACCTTAAAGAAATGCACAAATGTATGTGTTTAATATATGTGTTCATTTAATAAATAGCACTCAGCAATCTGCAGAGGGTTTTAAATTAGTAGGCAGTTGGTCATCACTGTCACTTTAATTTGGCTTTATTCATCTGCTTTCTATCTAACTACAAATGCTGGCCAGTCACAACAACAACCAAGAAATGCTGCTACTTGCATTTGAGATACAGTCCCAAGGACTGGACTCCGCACATGGTTGGCATCCACACTGGTACCTGTCAGTATCATTTAATTTATGTTCAGACATTCAAATCTGTATAATTTAAGAGGAAAAAACTCTAAAATTCTCTCTACCTTTCTCATAAATCCCTTGTAAGTATTGAAAAACAGTAGTAAGGTCTTTCTTAATACCGGGATTTCTAACTAGCGAGGCTGGTTTCCTGGTTAAAATGAAAACAAACTATAAAGCAGACACCAAGCACGATGAAGAAAGCTCTGTCAGATCTGACTGAGTTCTGACCAAGGCCAGCTCAGGGTTTAGAGCCACACTGCCCAAAATGAGACTCGGGAGACAAATGGGGCAGCCTGCCAGGAGGCAAAGGCAAGGGAGATTCAGCACACAAAAGTCACTGCCAGAGGCAACTTGAATTAACAAGCATGTGAAGCAGTACGAATTTTGCCAAGTGAGGACCAGCTACATGAAGTGGGTAAATCCTGATATGGTAGCAAAAGAGAAGAAAGGATGTCTGGAGAGAATGGGCTAATAACACACAGTTCTGCTACTCCTCACCAGGACAATCAGCTACTGAAAATAAAGCTATAGGAATTACTAGTCCTGAGGTGATGCTATGTATCCTTCTGGGGAAAAGATATAACTTGATTTCAGTGCTTTGAAAAACAACTCTCAATCCTGGATCTATTCTTCCATCCTTTGAGGCTGCATGTCCTGCCAGTTTTCTACATCTCAGAAAGAATTTCTCAAGTTTATGGATTTCTCTCTCTAAAGCCAATCTCTGCAATAAAGAAAGAAATTAAACATTGGTGCATGGACCACCCATACTGTAGAAACAGCAACAACAGAAACACTGCAATGAATGCATGTTGGTGGGGTTTTTTGGAAATACTTAAAATCTTCTGCTCATACAGATTTGTGATGATCTCTATGAGCTGCATAAAACTGCAACAAATGGATAAATTATCCATTAGATGCTCCACAAAGATGTGGCCTGTAACATGATCAGAAGTCACCAACGCTTTTTAGACTGATAAAGAAGTTTAGTTGGATTTAAGGAAGCAACTGACAAATTTTAAAATGCTGTCTATCCTACAGGCTGTAAGAAAATACATAAAATTCACATAAAGATTTCTTCTTAGAAAGTACTGGATTTCAAATTATAACCACTTCTGCACTATTTAATTATCTGAGATCTTTCCTTTAAAAATACTGTTCATGTTTCCTGATGTTTCATAACCCAGATTATGAAACAAAAGCTTCAAAGCCAGGCTGCTAGCCAACATTTATCAATATTATATGGGATTTAATTACTCTTTAAGTCAAAGGAACTGTGTTCAAAGATACATAGTACTTCAGGTTCCTTATATCTGATTTTAGTAGTAAAACTTCTTTGACCAGTTTCATTATTATGTCAACACAAAAAAGGGAAGTGTTAAGTAAAACCGATCTTGGAGAAGATTGGAATAATTTCAAGCACAAGGAAATACAGGAAACTAAATAAGTGGCAGTTACAAATACTATGTCTTCAGAGAAATGGCTGGTCTTAAATGTAGGTTTAACAAATTAGCAATAATAAGTAAACCACTTGAAATTAGGATTAACACTTTCCCACCAAAGAATTCTTAACATGATTTAATTCAAAATCTGAAAAATCTACAGTATAACAGTCCTGAAACAAGCAACTGTGTCAAGCTTACTACGAAGCAAGCACAGGGACACATAATTTTAAAATAGTTATATATGTATCTTAAATGTGTAACTCAAAAATGCCAATTACAATGCTTTCGTTAATGAAATTTCTATTTTCTTGTTTTCCTAAGAGCTGTAAAAGTCAAAATGGCCAAGGAGAGAAGAGATTCACCATTCACCAAATAAGGGGATGGGAAAAGAAAACTGTATTTTTGGCAGTTTATTCTAATCATAAAGCCAGAACAAGCAATTTCATTTTTCTTTCTTACCTGTTCATTTTCACTCAATGGCTAACAAGAAGCAGCAGGTCTATTGATTATATGCATACTATGTTATTGCATGGGTAAGTAAAAATTAAGAGATTAAATGGAAGGTAAGAGCAGCAGCCAAAGATTCAAGTTTGTGTATCAAGTATCAAGACTTGTCTGCAGCCTGGTCTACCACTGAAAAAGTGCAGTACCTGCTTTAAAAATAAAACATATCTGGCAGGTTACACGGAAACTCACGCTGCCTGAAGCCAGTCTTCTTCACTGGTCTGACTGCTGCCTACAACACTTGGACTGTGAGAGGAGGGAAGCATTATACTACTGAATTTGGTTCAAACTGAACTCACCATGAGGTAGAGGCTAACTTTGTCCAAAGCCTTAATGCCTCAAGAAAGATCTCCCAGACTACAAGTATATAAATCTTGTCTTATAATAAATGTACACTGAGCTAAGCAGAATATTCAAAAGCTGCTACAGCAATTTTCAACTATTTACACTAATTTTTGAAATGCAAGTATTTTCTAGTAATACTTCAAATTGTAATTACCTTTTCTATGTAACAAAATAAAAAGATAATCCCAAATCATGTGAATCAATAGAAAATGGTGGAATTGTATAACCACACATGCATTCACAAAAAGACTTAAGCCACCAAAAGCATAAGTCTCTACTTTTCAACTCTTTTTGACAGTTCCAAAATTCAGGCACACATCCAGAAGAACTTTCTGCCCCACGTCTGGTCAGTAAAGAAATTGAGGTTAACCTTTAATTTTTAATGTCACCTGCAGCCAGTGATTGCTTTTTCTAATGCAAGTGACAGATAAACAGCAAAACACTCCCAAGATGATACACAAAGCACCACATACCATAAGTGCATTTTTATTTTTATTCCAACTCAATTTCTCAAATGGATAACCAATGTTCCTACTAATTTACATTAAGAATTGCATGAGGCATGAAAATTGTTCTGATGCATAGGCTCTATTTCTTTAATGTACTGCATAGTATTCTGTACTTTATTGCAACACTGGAAAACACTAACTACACTTAAAAGGTAGAGAAACTATACATACAAAATCACAAGCACATATATATCCTAAAAACCACTTCAGAAAGGGCTTTAAATTCTCCAGAGCAGTATGAAGTAAAAAAAAAAGGTCACTGATGGAAGTCAGTAAAAACAAAAAATTGTTGCTATTAAACCAAGTTTCCTGACCTTTAATCACTTGAAGTAGTGTTTTTCTCTAGACCAGTGCTAGTACTTTAAATCAATACTGCTAGAATTTCAACCTTCAAATTCCTTTACACAATTCAGTAGTATCACCTTAACATTTGCAAGGTAATTCCAAACTAAACTGAGGGAATATGGCAAACTGAGGTAATATAATCTAGCTATTTAAGGCAAAACTGGCAAGTCTTTAACAGCAAACACTGCACCATTACTAAACACTGCCATGTTGTTAATGTAAGAAGAGGTTTGAATTAGATCATGAATTGCCCCTCCAGGTCAGGACTTAGGGTATATTATGGCAGAAAGCAAAGGAAAGCTCCCATTGAAACTGTATGTTTTACCAGTTCTGTGGAAAGCAGACTTCAGTACAGCTATCCGTCACTTTTAAAACCAAATACTACAGTCAACATTTTAACTTGTCTTTTAAAATTTAACACAGAAAGAAAAGCACCTATGTTTGTAAAATAAGATTTTCTTTTACAGAACGGTTATTTAAAATAATTTTTGGACAACTACAGGAAAGACACCACAAACGTTTTAACATATACTAAATGTGCAACTATGACATTAATGTAAATGAAGCAAACTCAGTTTGCTTTAAAAAAAAGAAAAAAAAGGAAAAATTAACTTACATAGTGGGAGGTGCTCAAACACAAAGCAGACAGCTGTCCTCAGAATGATACTCTCCACTCAGGTAGCGCTGGGATAAGGCCCAGGCATCAGCAGCAATGAGGAAGCTGGAGTAGCAGTCTCAGTACCAGACTTCTGGAATTGACCTTTGGATGAAGAATAAAGACATTTGATGAAAAAATGCTAAATGAATCTATACTTTTTATTTTTTAATTTAACCTAAAGGGATTCAAGTGACCCAGGGCATTTGATTTCTTCAGAAAATTTCCATATGGGAAAAAGTCAAGGGACCGAAACTAGTAGCTTTTTCAATCAAGTAACTATTTCAAATAGTCACAAAACAGGAGAGATAGAAACAGCATTTAAGATAAGCCCATGTGGCTCAAATTATTTATTTCTAAGATGACAGCAACAGTAGAAAAACAATCTAATAGAATCATAGAATCATAGAATAGATAGGGTTGGAAAGGACCTCAAGATCATCGAGCTCCAACCCCCCTGCCATGGGCAGGGACACCTTGCTCTAAACCATATTACCCAAGGCCTCATCCAACCTGGCCTTGAACACTGCCAGGGATGAAGCATTCACAACCTCCCTGGACAACCTATTCCAGTGCCTCACCACTCTAACAGGAAAGAATTTCCTCCTTATATCCAATCTAAACTTCCCCTGTTTAAGTTTTAACCCTTGTCCTATCACTACAGTCCCTAATGAAGAGTCCATCCCCAGCATCCCTATAGGCCCCCTTCAGATACTGGAAGGCTGCTATGAGGTCTCCACGCAGCCTTCTCTTCTCCAGGCTGAACAGCCCCAACTTTCCCAGCTTGAGCATTATGAAGACTTCTTCCATCTTCAACCTGAAATTCAACTCAACATGCAAATCTTGGCTATTTCTCAGCATTATTTTCAATTCAACCTCCTGTGACTGAACTTCTTTATATCACAAATATAAAACTCTATATAAAATAAATATAAAAGTAACTTGATATTGTTAGATGTGTTTTCTAGAAAGTAGTTAATTCATTATTAGATAAGACCAAGAAAACAGTATAGGGTTCAACAGCACACTACAGCTGGTTATACACACACTACAAAGTTCAAGGCTATGGTTCTAAGAAGACTTCTAACAAATCAAATTCCAGCAACTTATCAGCCATTTATTTTTTATTAACTCTCTTTTAACTGTTTGAAAATGTACTTGTAAATTAAGAAATAAATATTTTTCTAAAATACTTCTCTCTTCAAAAGATGTTTATGCAGAAATTTTCAGCTTTTGTTAGTTAAATTCGATTAACATAGCGATGGGATATGCTTATTTAAAAAATAACTTGTCCTACGAAAAATACGCAGAGCTAATGGTGTTGAATTGGAAACAGGATCTTCCCTTTCTGAAAAGCTGATATTTCACTCAGTTTCTACAGTTTCTATCAGAAAACCTGAGAACAGACCATCTGGCACATTAAAAAAAAAAAAAAGGAGTCCTAGAAGACACTGATTTTGCAGGTAAGTACCAAAACAGTTCCTGCAATAGGACCACTGTTGTCAAAACAAATTAAATTGAGTTCAGAAATAAACTCTTAAAAACATACTCACTTTGAAGAAATAAATTTGGGAATTCCTTTTTAAGAAATTAAATATAATTGTCTTCACAGGAGGATATTAAACAGTTCCAGCTAAATAGTGGGAATTTTGGTGGCTTTCTTTGTTTTCTGTTGGTTTGTTTTGATTTTATTTAATTTGGCTTAGAATCCTAGTTGCAATATAGTAGCATATAAATGTATTTTTATTCCAGAGCATACTTTGACTTATTAAGCCTGGCATTAAATTTTATAACAAGATGTAATATATCTAATTCAAGAGGGCTCAGAGTTCCCTGTATTACTTATTAATATGTTAAGTGAATGTTTGGACAATTGATTTCAACTAGCTTTTGTGACTAAAATATGTGACAAAATACAATCTTCAAATTACATAGTCCATTTGTCATAACTACTGCTCTAATTTCTATAGGTGCTAACAAATTAAGCAAAAAAAAAAAAGCTACACTGACTAAATAAAGAACAAACCCACTGTTTTTCACACACAATAGTCGAAAATGCTACTGCCTCTGCCCAGTTCTGGTAGAAAGTGAGCATAATCACTTCTTGGAAACAAGGGAAAAATAATAAACACAAAGAGAAATACACGCAATCTATCTATTGCTATTTCATTTATATCTCTATCTATAGCTGTATCTGTACATCTATATCTACATCTCTACCTATCTCCTGGGTTAGTGCAAATAACTCCTCACATCACAGCTGTATTGGTAAGTGCAATGGAGGGCATGTGCTGAGGACACCGGTGTGAAACACCAGAGCCGCAGCCCAGGCAGAGGAAGGCAAGCTGCAGCGAACTACAGCAGTGATGCAGTTGCAACAGCTTTCATAAGTGAAGGCAGAAACAGGAGAAGCTGTGCAGGGGCAGCTTAATGCCAATTCACACAGTGTTCTGAGTTGGTACCAAAAGGGAAGGGTGGGTTTTAGAAGGAAAGGATCAAGAAATAGCGACCTCCCTAGATGGGAGAAGGGCAGGGCCAAGGGGAAAAGGAGAGGATGGATTGAAATCTCTTCTTTGTGTTACAGAAACACATCACATGCTCAGTAAAAGGAAGCACAGATGAGTTTTGGTCTGCCAGGCAAAGGACTGGTGTCCTTCGGCGCGGCTGCCACATCCACTCATGGGCCCCAATGTCAAGAGGTCTTGCAGAAGGATCTAGATAGACTAGGGCATTGGGCAATCATCAATGGCATGAAACTGAACAAGAGCAGATGCTGCATTCTGAACCCGGGATGGAGGAGTGCCAGCCACAAATGCAAACTGGGAGAGGGATCTGGAGGTGCTGGCTGGCACGCCACTCCCAACTGCAACCCTCCCGCAAATACTAGTTTTTTAAAATGGCTGAGTTGTGTCTTTTGGAAGAAACAACCAAACACGAGAGCCTGAGAACAGCAGCACTCCAATGGGAGTCCATCTGGCCCAATGCTCTCCCTCCAGTGGCACCTCATACGTGTCTAAAGGAGAGTATATGAGGATCACAGGTCTACTCTGTCAGGATCCAGAGGGGGTGTTTAGGCCTCATGCCCAGAACCGGCCTCCCTTGGGACCTGCACTGCAGATAGCCTCTCAGACCTAGGTCCCAGCTTGTCATGCAGAACTATATGCGTAACATATCATAACTGTTCTGCCCTATTCTGTTCTGTTCCTTTGCATTCCCTGCACTCACGATGAGTCGTGTAACGATGAGACCATTATTTACCTGAAATGCCAAGGTGTTTTCAGCACCAAAAGCACTTTCAAAGACACAAATCAGGTTGCAGGTGGAAAGATTATTTTATTTATTTCTAAATAAAGTTATTTTATTTACCTTAGTTTAGTTTAGCTTAGTTATTTTTAGTCTAATTTAGATTGTATTTCCTTTTCCTAAAAAGTATTAACCCGATGCACACATGTAGCCAGCAGCAGGCTGATGCATCCTTCAGTTTAGCTTGGAAAAACCCTCCCTTGCAGCCTGAGACAGGAAAGCTGGGGCAGGAGCAGTGCCATGGTGGGGCGAGAGCCGTGCAAGAACCCAGCCAGAATGGGCCAGGGAAGACGTGGCAAGGGGGGGTGCTCCATGCAAGAGAGGAGAAGCAGCAAGTCCCGGGGCCATGCTGGGGCCACCCTGGGAATGCAGAAGGCTTCCTCCCCCCACATGTGGGGCACGAAGGCCACCTGCGTGGAGCACGAGCAGCTGCCTTTGGGCTACAGTAGCCCAAAGCAGCCCCATGGAGGGGCTGTGCTCGGCTGGAGAGGAGGCAAAAAACCCCGGGGACACTTGCTGGTCCAGCCTGGGGGCAAAAAAGCCTTCCCCCCGCCCCAGCTGCAGGACACGAGGGGCCACCTTCGTGGTGCATGAGCACCAGGCAATAACCCAGAGCACCAGGACCAGAGGAGCCCTTACAAGTGGTCATGCTCAGTGCTCAGAGGAAAGCAAAAAACCCCCGGGACCGGTGCCAATCTGCCCCGGGGGAAAATTCCTTCCTGACCCCCGTGCTGGCGATCGGCTACTCCCTGAGCACGTGAGCAAGACCTGCTCCCGGTCCACGGGCTGGTTATGCCTCTAAGGGGACAAGGGGACGCTGGCAGTGCCTTTTCTGGCTCCAGCTGGAACCACCGCAGGGGCTTCCAAGAGCAGCAAAGTGCCACTGGCCTGATCTAGGCTGGGAGCAAGAACCCTTCCAGTGCCTGGCACCGGAGCTCCAAAGCCCTGGGGGAGGGCGCTGCTCTTATACTGCCCCGGAGCATTGTGATGCTGCCTTGGCGGGTGCTGGCACTGTGACACGGGGGTAGACGGGGCCCCCACAGCCCTGCCCACCCCACTCCAGGCCTGCTGCTGCTGCCCCTTCTCCCAGCATGCCTTGCAGAAAGGCCGTTGGGCTGCTGGCCCTGCGGCAGTGCCTGTGCCCAGGAGGCCCAGGGGGATGGCTCTGCCCATGGCAGCCACGCACCGGCACCGCTGCGGGGTGTCCCTGTAACCGCATCTGTGTGTTCAGACTGTATCAATAAAGGCTTTTATACCACGTACAGTCATTTGAATTCAATTCAGAATTTAAAAACAACCATCACCATCATTTATGTACAGCCATTACGAAAATATCTTTACCGCTTTTTCTTGCTTTTCTGCTTTTCTATTTCCTCCTTTTGCTTTTCATACACCCCGTTTCTGCATTTTCCCCTCAAACAGACCAAAGCCTGCAAATACAGAACAGTTAATATGTGTATTTGCAGAGGACTTACTACAGTGAGATCACAGCCTTGTACTGAAGTAATAATAAATAGTAACAAATGTTTTGCTCAACTATCACAAGTCAATTCAGTCACAGCTGGATCCAGTGACTGGTTTCCTTTGAAGCAGTTCATTTAACATATGAATCCTGTAAATTCTTACCGAAACAACAGAAACACCCCCAACCAATGGTTTGAATAACGCTTTTGTAGAAGAAATAGAAAATACTACGCTAAATTCTGAAAACAGAGGTGATAATGTGTTGCATATCAGTGCAGCACAATGATTATCACATTATTCATACAATTATTATAATAGTTTGCAACAAGTTACACTGT